CGTTTGCACCGTCGCTAGTCGTCGCCATCCACTACCGTCATCCCCGAGGTTGCCGTTGCCGTCGTCGACGGGGCGCCTTAACGGCGCATGAGTCCTTCCTCAGCGTCGGCCATCGGTGGCATGACGAGAGCGGTAGGGCAGCTCGATGGCGAGGGCACGACGGCGAGGGAGGAACAAGGAAGGCCGGCGAGGAGCGGATCCTGTCGTTGCCTCATGCGTCCGTCGTCGTCGTCAGGCGGCCTGGCACCGGCCATCGTCGTGTGAAAACGGTGTCGCCACCGCCGGCTCCCCATCCACGCGCCCCCTCGCCTTAAGCCACCGCCTCCTCATCTGCTGGGTGGGTTGGAGATGGGAGGGAGTGGCGGTGGCGGCGTTGCTCGACGGCAAGGTTGAGGGAGACGAGGCGGCCGGTGAGAGCTCGGCCAGAGGGGCACCAGCGGACGGAGCCCGAGCGTTGGCGGCTGCAGCAGAGGGGAGAGGGAAGGGGATTTGGGGAGAAGGGGAGGAAGAAGAAAGTTGTAGAGACTGACATGTGTGCCCTATTGTCATGGACTCATAATAGAGAGGATGAATGGGAAGGCTGTTGGAGTAAAAGACAGTTTGACTAGCTAAATTAGATGAAGAGTTGACCAAATAGACATTTGGAGAGTGAGATTTAGAGAAACTGTTGGAGATGCTCTTAGAACTAGAACTATGCCAAACGAGTCTCTAATATTAGGGTGTGACATACTCTCGTAGTACTATAATCTAGAGACATCACATTTCGTAATAAATTAACTCATTTTGTGGCATATGAAGTAGTTATCCTATAAGCCTCCATTCTTTCCTAACTCACATTCCTTATTTTCCACGCGCACGCTTTTCAAACTGCTGAATAGTGTGTTTTTGCAAATGTTTTCAGTAGGAGAAATGTTTTAGAAAATCATATTAATCTATTTTTTTAATATTTTAAACTAATACTTAATTAATCTCGCTCTAATCGCTTGTTTTGTTTTATGTGTCAGGAGGATAGCCTAAAGAATGCATCGAGAGCATAGGCAGTGTTTAGTTCCCTACAAACTTCCAAAAATTCCATTACATCGAATGTTTGGACATATGCATAGAGCATTAAATATGGAAAAAAACAATTGCACAGTTTGCATGTAAATTGCGAGACAAATCTTTTGAGCCTAATTACACAATGATTTGACAATATGATGCTACTGTAAACATTTGCTAATGATGAATTAATTAGGCTTAATAAATTCGTCTCGCTAGTTTATAGGCATAATCTGTAATATGTTTTGTTATTAGTCTACGTTTAATACTTCAAAATGTGTGTCCATATCTTTACCTATTATTAAAAGTTTAAGATGTTTTTGCCGAAGATTTTCGTACTTCGTGCAATTCGATTCCCTCCAATACTCGAAACGGACAACTCCAGAGTTTGCTATATGGCTTGATTCCGAGATCGATACGATGCGATTTTGCTCTAATTCTTGGAAAAACGGAAAGAGAAGGAGATAAGGATCAAAACCCCTCAATCAATTTCGGATTATCTCCGTGGATGCGGACATATTTCACGGTGGGGCGGTGGTTTCTGGCGGTGTCGCGAAGCTGTGGAGTTGGCAGAGGTAGGAGACGACACTGTAGCATTGGGATCCACGCGACAGGGAGAAGAAAAGGGATGCTGATTAGACTTTGTGGTTGCTTGATGGGCCGGATGCACGTTTTCAGGCCGAGGTGAGGAGAAGTGAGGTTCACGGGCCGGCTCGGCTACGGGCTAAAGAAAAAATGGGCTCAAAATGGCCCAGGGAGAAATGAGGGCTTTCATTTAGATTTTCATTTAAATAAATGCTAAAATAATGTTTGTATTATTAAAATTAGCAATGGAGCTCTAAAAATACCGAAAAAATTTCACATAGTGTAATTAATCATGGAAAATTTAATAAAAATTAAATCCATCCATAGTTTATTTGGAAAATTTTATTTCCCACATTAACCTTGATTTTTATGAGCCTTTCTTTCCTTCAACATCGTATACATGTATAGTTGCGATTTTATATTTTAATTAATTATATAATGTAAATATTTCTCAACCTTTTCTTAAATTTCTCATGTTTTTTTCTGGTTGCAACGCATGGGTATTTTTTTAATTAATTATAAAAATTTTAACGCACGAACTAACACACGGCCATAAAGTACACGAACACGCGATGCTACAGTAGAACATGCCTCTGCTAGCTCCAAACAGGTTTCATGAAAAAGAGGCTTGTAGCCGTGTCAGGCCCGCGCTGACAGAATTACGTGATCTGCTCCAAAAGATTTTCTTGGGACTTTGATTCACAAAAGGACAGGGACATCCTAGTGGTAGTACGAAAGGTGGGTAACAAGACGCTATCCGTCTCGAAACAAAACAACTATGTAGATGAATCTGACTAAGGGGGTGTTATTCATGGTAAAATTTTGGCATGTCATATTGGGGTTTTTTTAGTGTTTATACACCAATAAAAAAACTAAGTGTCATATTTGGTTTTTTAGTGTTCAGGCACTAATAAAAAAACTAAGGCACCAAAAACTAATTATAGAATCTATCAGTAAATCGCGACACAAATTTATTAAGCATAATTAATGCGTCATTAGCAAGTTTAATGTAGCACCATATTGTCAAATCATGAAGCAATTAGGCTTAAAAGATGTCGCAATCTGTGCAATTAGTTATTGTTTAGCCTATGTTTAATACTTCATGCATGTATTTAAACGTTCGATGTGACAGGGTGTATAATTTTAGGGTGTGATCTAAACACCCCATAAGCATGTTTCCAGAGTAATCCTCAATGTTGTTTTTTTTTCGGAGGAAGTACTTTAATATCATTGAGGAAGTAAATAGTAGATGAGTTAGTAACTATATCCATCGATAGCACTACTACCTAGTGGCAACAAGCCCTGAAAAAATATTAAACTCTTCTCTATCTCACCCATTTTTTAAAAAACATAGTACAAACACAGGCATCCACAATACGTGTACAGTCACCACTATAAACACACACTCATACTCTACCCTTATGAGCACATCCGAAAGACTGGATCGTCATTTCTCTATATGTAGACTTTAGTTTACTATCTACACATTGTGTAAGATAGAAATAATTATAACCCGGTTCAATGTATGCTTATTTAAGTGGGTAAGTACTTATTTTTAATTCTCACAATAGATAGATACCACATATGTACCAAAAATATAGCTATTTGTAGCATAATAACTTGTCAAAAAAAAGTTATTTCTCTACCACCCCTCATCTCAATCAATCACAATTTCATATATATTTAATTTCTCATACAATAGTACTTTCTTTTCTCGACCAATTGCAACCTACCAGCTACCACCAATCATTTTTACCTACCTTTTTAATAACCGTGCTAATATTTGCTTATTGCTTCTTTCAGATAGCATGTTAGTTTTAGATGATACTTCTACCCATCTTACAACCTGCCCTCACAGCGATGAACCAAATATTAAGAATTCTTACCGCCTATTTTAGGCACATTGTGGATGCTTTTAATCTCCTTTAATACTACTTCATCCTCCCCTGCCCGTTTGTCCCAAAATAGGCTTTTTTAAATAATTATCGTATTGGAGTTTACGAGGATAGTAGACAATACATTGAAATTAGATAAAGTTCGGAACAATTGCATTGGAGTTCGATACTAAAGGTATTATAATCTTTTTATATATATTGATACGTGTGTGAGTACTACTACACCTAGTAATAATATTAATAATGTATACTTTTGTCTTACTCCTTCCATCCCATATTATAAATGATTTTGGATGGGTGTAAGATAGCATAGTACTCATGAATTTAGACAACAAACGATGTAACATATCCTATCACTACGAATCTAGATAGGCTCCCTGTCCAGATTCATAGTATCTGGATACGCCGTATCCACCTAAAATTTCTTATATAATACGGCACAATTGGCGTATTAACTATCATAGTTTGAACACCATATTCTTGGTGGCAATATAGGCTGTATTTAGATTAAAAGTTTGGATCCAAACTTCAGTCCTTTTTCTGTTAGGAAACGATAGGCGAACAAACGATAAAGAACAATAGATCAATCACAAAAGACACGAGATTTAACGTGGAAAACCCTCCCAAAATAGGAGAGAAAAAACCACGGGCGCCAGCCAGCAAAATATCTTCACTATATCTGAGGTGAGGTTACATCGCCGCACGGCGGCTTACAATAGGTATATATATAGTGGAATCCTAAAAGGGATGATGATCCGTACCGCGGGGGCTCCGCCCCCGCACCCCCGGGCGTCCCCAGGCGCACAGCCCAATGGGCCAGCTTCAGCCTTCGCTCCACTACGGCAGAAGCTGGCCTTTATTAAGTGCAAATGGGATCACAACTCAATATTTTCATCACATCAACCTGTCATACACACACAACTTTTCAGTCACATCATCTTTAATTTTAACCAAAATCCAAACTTTGCGCTGAACTAAATACAACCATAATGGTACCTCTAGGACCAAATGTGTTTGAACATGGGACATTCCGCTGACTCCTTCTAATGGACGATCAGATCATCATCAATGTGAGGGGTGTCGAATTGATGGACCCACACTTGACGGAGATCACTGCTCTCTTTAAAAATGGTATAGACAGTCAATGGTTTCCGCACACTAGAGACGCCGTTTGAAGCCTTCATTAGCAACAGAAACCTTTGTCACGTCTCGCATTGTGACCTGGCACTTTCGCTCTGCCGCTTGGCAGCAAGCGCGCTGTACTGCTGGCCAGCGCTTCGGCGACCCCCTGCTCATGCCCACGGCTCCAGCCTCCAGCAGCCACCGCTGCCACGCGCCCACGCCCCCGCCCACGCGACGAAGGGGCATGAGCGTGGGGCCCCCACCCACCCCCACCCAGCAGTGACCCAGGGGAGAGAGGGGCAATCCCGTAACTTCGCCTCGACATGACCCGTCACACTATAAATCCGACCCCCTTTCTCGGTCCCGTCTCTCCACACCCACGCCCACACACGCAAACACAGAACACACCACCCCGCGCCGCATCGATCGCTCCCACGACCGACGCGAGCCGCAGCGGCGGCGGAAGCGGTCGGGACCGACGCGGACCCGTCGATCTCCTCGCGAGCGCGAACCCTCGCCGGAGCCCCTTCCCCGCCGGCGGACTCCCCCGCGTTCTCTCTCTCTCTCTCTCCTCGCGCCAGGGGAGCGGAGTGAGGCCTAGCTAAGCTCCGGTTCGTAGGTGAGTGGGGGGTAACACACTCTTCGCCTTTCCTTCCTGTGGTGGTGCAATTTATGGATTGATTTTTTTTTTGTGTGTGTGTGGATTTATCCTTTCCCCCCGCTTTACTCTCACTTGCTTTCCGTTTGAGTAGCGAAGGAGCAAGCGCTTGAGAGAGGGGAAGAATCGCGTGCTTTTCTCGGCGTTGTTGCGGGGGCTGGGGTTTGGAAGGTGGTCGGGTTGGGTCGGGTTTAGATGAGGTTTTATGGGATCGGTCTACTACTCGCGGGTCGCGGTGGTGTGACTTGTGCTTTTAGCCCATCAAGAAAGCCGTTCTTTTTTTTTTCTTTTTTTCGTTGGCGTGATGAAGAAACGTTCGCGTTCTTTAAAAACAAAAGATCGATCGGGAGTGAAGTTTCTTTGAATGTGCAAGATTGAAGATTGGTTCATGTAGTCAATCCGAAAATCGGTAGCCTGGTGGGTGAGAATCTAACTCTGGTCTTACACCAGATGACCAGGGGTAGTAGGGTGCCATATCAATAATTTTAGCTATGCCCATATCAATAACTTTAGCTATGCCTGATTATTAGGATCTTCAATGCTGGTAAAGTTAAGTACTTATGTGCGTTTTTCTTGACATAATACTTGTGTGTGTTTATTACTGTATCTACTCTTCATTATTTCAGTAATAGATTCTTTTACAATTGACAATATTGTTTGGTTGTTAACCAACGCAACCAGGGAGGTGGCTCATGGTTATGGTTAGTACTTAGTACAGTAGTAGTATCTAATGGAATTAGACAATATATTTCCTTATTTTGTGGATACAGTAGTAGTCTACTACTATTCTCTCTATGAGAGAATCCATTATATGCCACTGAAAATTGGTCTGATCCCTTATATGCCATTGAAAATTGGCTCTTCCTTTATATACCATTGATCGAAATTTGCACACTCTCTCATGCCACTCCCGTCAATTGACCGTGTGTTGACCGTTAATTCTCAAGGAAAAAAGACGTATTTACCATTCTGAGTATAGGGCATGCCTAACAATTCAGAGAGGGCAAATATGTCTTTTTTACTTGAGAGTTAACGGTCAACACACGGTCAACTGACGGTAGTGACATGAGAGGGTGCGCAAATTTGGACCAATGGCATATAAGGGAAGAGCCAATTTTGAGTGGCATATAAGGGATCATACCAATTTTCAGTGGCATATAAGGGATTATCTCTCTATCTAATGACTTGCGTCAAAAAAATTCTATCTAATGACTGGACAACAGAAAGTACGAGCGAATGCTGGTATGCACGCCAGACATATTGTGTGAACTGAGAGAGTATATTGAGAGTTTGAGGTAGCTATACAGATTATAATGCTTATTAGCATGGTTACTACGCTTATGGATGCCTATAGTAGTGTAATTGCTCTGGAAGTTGTCAATATTTTCTTCTGATGGAAATAGAAGTTGCCACTCACCATCTCCCCCAATCTATTATATTATTAAGAGAAGGATAAAGGGAGCCACCACATTTTCTCTGAAGGCATAGAGATTATCACGTTAATCAGGGAAAAGGAGAGATCTATGCCAATGATTTGGTAGGTCCAGGTTAACCGTGCTGATTAATTGATGTAGTTATATACAATTTTACAAATTTTTTTAGATAATGGGCAGTGCCCGGCCTCTGCATCCGGAAGTGGATGCACACGGCCAAGTTATATACAAAATAGAACTGTATTCATATAAATAGAAGCAGGAGTTGTGCATCAAACACTTCTACTTTCAATTAAACTTTAACCTAGCTCTGCGCAAATTGCAAGATTGTGCGGGAAATTCGTCTTTTGTTTCTCTTGTTAAAGATACTGTTGCCATTCTCAGCCCTTTTCCTTTTTTGGTAATATGTACTTATTTCACACTTCAGCGCTTTAGCTCATCATGATATTTGATGTAAATGTGATTTGTTCATTCCATGACTTCTCTACCGAGCTCAATCCTCTTGGTTTCATGCTCTTCATGGTACTCCCTCCATTAACATTTGATCAGCATATAATTTAAAACAAAACATTCATATTTGATCAACACATAAGCTTGGTATTCCTTCGGTGAACATGATGGCTTAATTGCTTTTAAAGTTTACATTGAAATTTGATTTCTTTCGCATGCACACTTGGCTCCGCATAGGCTGAGGTCAATCAATTCAATATAAAATTGCAGCTGCTTGGTCTCTTTGATTTGCATGCAACGCTTTTGGTTTGCATGCAGGCATGTTGATGCAGCAGTAAATGGACACCTTGGTCTTGCTGCCAAGAGCTAATACATTGATCAAATGTGAACCGAGGTTGTATCAATTAACTGGATTTACATGGTAGAAATAAACACATATTTTTCTACATAGGACATTGTAGTGGTGTAATGTAAAAATAGTTTTCTGCTTCAGCTTGCTCTGCCCTTTTGCCATTTTAGTTTTCTTAAATTTCTTTTGGTTCTAGTCCCCTGTTGTTATCAGGTGATTCCATTAGGCTCTAATGAGCTTTTACTAAATAGATTCTAATGATCTAGGAGATGTTTGGTTAAGAAGTTAAAAGCTACATTTTTGGTGTTTAAATAGTAGATAGTTCGTTTCATGATTAACAGAAATATGGGATATTATTTGCTGTGGTTAACCATTGTTGACTATCAAACATTCAAACCTTACAATCTGTTATCCACACCACACAGCACTAGTTTGGTCCTGTTAGAAGGGCATGCTGTTTGTTGTTGCTTTGTTTCTATGGGAAATTACCCTTGGCCACAAATTAAGAAGATGTTTGGTCCTGTTAGATGGCTTCAGCTTTGAGCTCTGGAAGTCTGGACCTTCGAGTGGTGGATGCATAGTAGTACAACCAGTTAAAACAACTGTAGCCTAAAAGTTTTCTAAATTGATTGAAGAAATTATTGTGGAACATCTTCATTACTGAATACATTAAGTACCATGCTTAAAAATCCTGTGCCATAAAGCTTTAGCAGAGAAACCGAAGGTATTTCTAGCTCCTTCAACTGGCCCAGTACAGGAATTCCTATAACTTATGTGTGTTTTAATTTTTAAATTAATTTGTATATTCTTCGTTTCGTGATAAGAGTTGTGCTTTTATTAACGTATGGTTCTGAAGTTTGTCTTCCTACCCTTTGGTAGGTTTTCTTGTGGTTTGTATCTGTGTGTGGCACAATTAAGGTCCAGCTTATTGGTGCCTAGATTTGGAAGTGAAGCACACAATTAATTCGACTGAAGTGAGGTCCTAACTTTTTCCATCTTTGAGCCAGAAGTTTCAATGAGTCGTCTTCATGGCAATGACATAGGATATCCAGTTCAGTCACCCTACTGGTTTTAGTAGATATATTATGGGATACTGTTGATACTCGCGAGGAATCATCTGAATGTAAAAAACTTGAGATGGAAAAGGGAAGTGAGGAATATATATCGTTTTATGACTCTGAACTAGAAGAAGGTGAGTTCAGGGAGTGTAGAGCATTTGAGGATCAAACTGTTAAAGTGAGGCAGTTGGCATTGCATGGAACATGTTCTGGGGAATACAGTCGAAGTTATTCATCACATGTCAACAGTAGATCAAATAAAAGGCACAAACAGAAGGAGCATGACTATTATAAATATTCCGATTATCTACAAGTCTTGAAAAAGATTGAAAAAGTCAGCTCAAGAAGATTTGATAAACTATTGGTATGGCACAACGAAGACCGTGAGGAATTCAATGTTGTGCGCAAAAGTCAAGAGTTTGAGTTCTTCCAAGAACATCTACGCTCTTATGAAGTCCAGTACACACGAGTTATACCAACAATAAAACGTTGCAGGATGAAGCTACCAAAGTTACTATTCTCTGTTTTGCACAAGACTTTTCATAAACATTTCCAATCCCAGCTGATAGAATTTGTGAAACGACAAATAAAAGATAGAGACAAGGATAAGAGAGTAAGAAACCGCTGGATATTTGAGGCTGAAGCTGGTTACCTTAAGACAGATTTTGACATGATTCCCTTGTCATATTCTGGGCTTAAGATAGAGAAATTGAAATGCTCTTCGACTGACTATTTAAATGGTGATGCACAGCTCAACTACTTTAACATGGAATGTCTATCTACTGAAATTGAAGCTATTGCTTCTTCAAGTACAAAATCAGAAGAGACCTGTGCAGGCAAGAGAAGCGACACTTCTGAGCCCATTCTAGACAATTCAGAAGTTCTGCTTGAAATCAATGTATCTACCAAGGATGGGGCTTCAGTTGGTGCAGCTGAAGAAGTTTTCACCTGTGAAAGGTCTTCACAGTCCACCTGTGGGCCGACTACAATGGTATTTGGTCAAAATAATGGGAGACAAATTGACTTCCCAGTAGCAGCACAAAGTAATGTGGGGGATGCAGAGTTATCCTATGCCTCTCAATCTCACATTAGTGCAGCATCAGCACATGCTAATGTTGTGGCTGCTGATTCAGAAAATGCAAACCTGCTTTCCAGAGCAAAGGGAAGATGTCCAAGTTCAACCTATAATGTTTCGCTAGGTTCCTGCTCTGGGTCTCAGAGAAAACTCCCATTTGAGTCTGCCTCGAGCCCGTGCGAAACTGCATTGCTTCACAAGGTTAATCTAATTCTAATTTTATTGGCTCGTTTTGACAAATAAATTTTATGATGTGGTTCGGGGCCTCTTACAAACTAACCTATGACACTTCATAATCTGAAATCCTTTCACATTGCTTATCTGCAGGAAGCCCCATGTGCAGATCACCAGATATCCTTGAACACTGTTTCTCCGCAGGAAGCTCCCTGCGCAAATCACCAAATATCCTTGGACACTGTTTCTCCGCAGGAAGCTCCATCTGCAAGTCCGCCTTCAACTAATGTGATTCAGATGGAACAATCTGAGGACATTAGTAATGTGATTCGGGTGGAACAGTCTGAGGACATTAGAAGTGAGGAAGCGCCTAATGGTCAAGCTTCCTCCTTTGCCCAAGTTACCGAGCAGCCTAACATGCAAGCAAATACATCAACTTGCCAGGCTGTTACTCATCAACCACCTGATGGGAGTATTCATTCGGTTAGAACTGAGTTTATCAACCCTCGAGCATCAAATATTGAGTCATATTCAGTCAACCAGATTCTAACAAGATCCATCTTTGAGCAACGCCCTAATGAAGCTGGGTTTCAATCAGATCCCGTTGCTGTTGAGTTGAGTCGGTTACAGATGTTACGTTGTCTGATGACCAAGAGACATGAAGAGAAGGTTCCTTTCTTGATCCCTTCTTTTTTTTATTCAATTGCAAATAGCATGTGCACATTTCTTGCATCTTAATAGTCTTGCTCATCTAATCAGCGTCTTCTCATGAATTTGATCAGCGGCAACAAATTATTTTGGCACGTGAAATAGAGATGGCTGAAACTAAAAGGAAGTATGATGAGCTGATCCATAAATTGGAGATGGAAACATCACAGAGAAAGAAAGGAATTCAAATACTTGCTGACAAAGTCTATAAACGACAAACGTTGGCTGAGGGATTCCAGACTATGTTTGTTTCACACGGATCAAGAGGTACATATGTTTAATGCACCGTAAGATTAATTGATATAATAAATAGCTTGGTATAATTGCTCCAAACCTGGTAACATGTCTCTATTTCAATCCGTACGCATCTCTACTGTCATCCTTTAGAATACATATAAGCTGGCAGTGTCATCTTTTGGCACCGGTCAGTAAAAATACTTTCTTAAAAGAAATTTGCACACTTTTATTCAGGCGTTGTGTTTATTCAATATTCATAGAATTGTTTGCCGTAGTATCCTGATTCTACAAATATCTCACACTATCTCCACTAACCAGCAGCACTAACAAACTATAATAATACCACGATCTTGCTGTAAAAGTATTTTTTTAACATTCTGCACTTATAATTTACTCTATGAAGATGTAAAGAATTCGGAAACTGCAAATAATATTAAAGTAAGATTATGGTGTGTTTCTCACAGTAGACCGAATTTCCAGTTTGCACGTCTTTGCAGTTCTAGTGAGTAACATTTCCCTTTTTAGACCTAGTGACTTATTTTGGAGCTGGAGCTATAATAGTACATTTTAGTTATACAAGTAAACATTCCATAGACTAATGTTTTGCTATTACTTGATTTGTTCAATAGCATATCAATCCAACCTGTTGCCTGTAATCTCATTTTTGATGTGTTCATGCTATGAATCATGTGCAGCCAGGAGAAGCATGCAGCCTAATCGATCATCAGGTCAGCAGGCTTTGCAGATTCCTGCATCCGTTTCAGCCCCGGCATCAGCAGTCATGTGTCAACCATCGCAACAGGATGCGCAGTCATCCATGGGCAGTTCACCGCGACACCCTTTTGTGACAATAAATCACCATAGCATGGACTATTTGGGCAGATCTGCTACTCCCTTGGCTCACAGTCGAGGTGCTGGCATGGGCTCTGGGATTGCGTACCATGCACCAGAATCCCATCTCCATTCTGTTGTAAATCCATTGCCAGCATCAGGTCTCCAACTTGGGATCGCGAGCTTGGAACAATAGCTGGGGCTTTTGATTCTTCTTCGAAGCTTTCGGGCATGCAGCCCGTAAGGTTACATACAGTGTAACCGTATGTGTTTCTATGATGACTTTAACTTCTGAGTTTTGCTTAGTGAGAAATAGATCCTACTTAGAATCCGATCAGGCCGTATACTTCTCTAGCTGGGAGATTAATCTGTTAGTTTATGTTTCGCTTTCTGCATCCTTCAAGTTCAGTAGCAACAGTTTGACTGAGACTGGAGCTGTCACAGGTGGCAGACATGTGGTACACCCAAAATCCTGAAACCAGCCTGCATCTGAAGTGCTTGGCCGTCCTTTTCTCGTCTTTGGTCCTGAGCCTGCGTTATTTCTCCCTACGTTGGTCCTGCACAGAATGCATTTACAGTCATGGATCCCATGTCAATTTCTCATGGACCATGCGCAGATATTCATGAGGCCCAGGCTCATTGGAGTACTACTCTCGTAGTCTCATCAGAATGGTCCTGCTCAGTGTCATGGGGAAGGATAACCGAAGTGATGGTTGAATGTCTTCACTCGTGCAAATACCTATGAGGCCAAGCATCGGTGGTGTCTGGTCATCTGGTGTGGTACTGTGGTGTGAATTGTCTGCACTGCATCTCAATTCTGAATTGTGATACTGTAGTCGCGTACCCATTGGGATGGTCATAGTTGTACTCATCATGGTAATATGGGAGGATTGGTGGTACAATGGTGAAATCGTAAGTACTCCGTCCTAAAAAAAATCAACCTAATATTAGGATGTGACACATTCTAATACAACGAATCTAGACATACATTCTCACGTCGTAGTACGAGGTTGAGTTTTTTTTTTGGGACGAAGGGAGAAGTGTCTTACCCATTCCCATAAGGGTTTAGGGCCTATTTGGTTACTACCTGAGAGCAAATTTAATAGTATAGCTAACCGACGGCTCCAAATCATTTATAGTCAACTTAATAACTAATCCATACAATAGTTACCTATAAATATATACTACACAATTAATATCTGGTCCCATCTGTCATACGCACATGCTTCTTAGAGTCCGTGCTGCAGCTGGCTATAAATATATAGCTCGCTGCTCTTCTCTCTTCTCGTTTATCTCCTCGAAATAAGTTTATAGCTGGCTTATAGTTTGCTATTGTACTTGCTCTGAGAGAAAGTTGCCTGGCTAGAGACATGCCCGAGACTATTTTGTGAGTGTTTGGTTGCTACCCACGAGAGAGGGGTTGGGAACAAGGGGTTGCAATCACAGCCTGAGTCTCCTTCCACCTCTCTTGCCCTGATGCAGCTCAGGCGTGGGATTAGCCTGGGCTCCAGGCGCGGCAACGCTTCGCATTAGCACCATAATCCCCTTGTCACTAGGCTGCCCGAGGCTGTCGCGCGCCGTGGTCACCGCCGTGAAAACTGCGCAAGAAGCTGCCGAGTCCACCGCCGCTGCCGTCGCGCGAGACCGCCGAAGCCACACGAAGCTCATGTCGTCGCTTGCCGGAGTGCCGTACCCATCATCGAGCGGAGCCACCGTCAGATCATGTCGTCTCTGCCGCTTCGCTTGGATTTGGTCTCCTCGTGAAGCAGCGATGCTTCGCAAGCAGATTGTTGTCTCTACTAGATGCATGGATTTCCTCCTGTTATTTTCTTTTCCCTTCTTGATGATTTCCTCGCTGGATCCCGCCGTCCACACGAAGCAGCGCCGCCGCTGTGTGGAGACGCCATCGCCGCTAGGCAAGGATTTATCCCATGGTACAGTAAGCAGATCGATTGCATGCAATCTTGGTGAACTATCGGCAATAAATCATCCAAATTTATGCCGATATACATAGATTTAGAATCTTTCGGCTCATTCTATGTCTTTTTTTTTCTATTTCACTTGTTTTTTAGATTATTTGTTCCTTCCTTAGGTATATGATTGATTTGTGTAAGGAGGCGGACGCGCTCGATGAATTTGGTTGTAGGCTGGATATAATTGCCTGCCAAAAATTATGTCGGATGTTAATACTTGACTTAGCATTATAATGATCAAACATCTAACATAATTTTTTTCTCGGGCACGAGCCACAAGGCCCACAACCAAACAAGATGAGGCTGAGGCTGTCTGACCAGGCAGCATACATTACAACTTTGAATACCACTCAGGCTTACAAATTTCTCGGGCACGAAGGTGAGGGCACCAATCAAACAGGTCCTTAAACCCCAATGGTCATGGATACTGCATACGTAAGTATATACCTTTTCCCCGTAAGGGTTCAAACCCCAATGGTCATGAATACCGCATAAATCCATGGCCATTCCTGTTGCAAACTCTTCTATCACGTCGCTCTCCCCAGGGGTGGCTTGGGAGGCGACGATTCGGCCGCCCCTCTCCCCCACCTCCCTTCTCCTCCTCACCGTCGCTCGAGCGGCCGCCGGCAAAGCCGCGTGGCCGCAAGGATGGCGGCGTCGGGGCTCTCCTCGTCTTCTCGCGCTCGGGCGGTCTAGGGAGCCGCCCGGAGCGGCGATGGCGGTGACTGCCAAACCTGCGCCGTTCCGGCCAGATCTGGCGGGGTGGCTGGCTACGGGGAAGGCGGTGGGGACGGGTGATGGTGGCGGTCGAGGTGAGTTGCACCGGGTGGAGTTGTGGTTATGGCGGCGGGGATGGCGACGACGATAGGGCGGCGGTGGTGGAGGCGCGGATCCGGCGGCGGCGCGACGGCCGGTGGTGGGCAGCACACGCAGGCATCCCGCGACTGCCACTGGCGTTCTCCGACGCTTCTTGGCGTCGGCCAACGTTGGTGGTAAGGAGGGCAGCCGGATCTGGCTTCTTGCCCAAATCCGGCGCATCCTCGTGTGGGGATGGGGTGGATTAGTGTTCGGTCATCTGTGCAGGTGGTGTGAATATTGCAGGTACCCTCGATGTGCATATGACATTTGGTGGCTCCTGCCATGGATGCTATGGTTGATGGGGGCTCTAAGGCGAAAGCCTTGCTCTGCTCTCGGTGCTAGCAACGGCGACGCCCTTGGGCGCCGTTCACCTTCTTGAAGACGTTGCTACTGGAGCTCTCATTTAACTCCACTTCAAGAGATTTCTCCGGGTGAAAACCTAGATTCGTTAGGATCGGATGAAGTCGCCGTTCTGTCAGCGTAACCTTCTTGAAGGCTTCGTTTTAGGAGTTTTTCTCTTGTTGGACGTCTGTACTTAGGTTCAGTTTGTCAAAGTCGGGGTTTTCACCAGTTTTCCTTTAATTAACCGTGCTGTTGTAAGGTTTTTGGGTCTGGTTTTCCTTATAAACTGGATCAACTATCTTCTTCTATAGTGAAATGCAGGAGCTCCCCGCCTGTTCCCTCGAAAAAAAACGAATACCGCATAAATTAGATTGTACTCCGCACGTTCTTGCGGATAGCTGTATACATCTGAAAAAAAAGATTTTACGTCAATTCTCTATATACCAAAACCAGTAAATAGTACCGAGTTGCCAACTAAAGAAGCTTTCAAGAGAAACAACAAATCCATAGAAACAGGCAAACAAGTGTCGAACACACTAAAAGTTGCCAAAAAAAATCATCATATGAAAATAATGGAAGCGCGTATATACTACCTCCGTCCCAAAATTTTAAATCTTTGTTTGTAATGTTTGATTATTCGTTTTATTCATAAAATTATGGAATTATTATTTATTTTGTTTGTGACTTGCTTTATTATCAAAAGTATTACAAGTATGACTTATCTTTTTTATATTTACACTAATTTTTCTAATAAAAATGAATGGTCAAATGTTACAAGTAAAAAGTCAAAGCGACATTTATTATAAGACAGGGGTAGTAGTTATCAATGTCACGCATCCCAATCCCTTAAAAAAATATATATTAAGAGCCTGCGAAACTCATTTATAGGCTAAAATGAGCCGTGGACCCACTTATTTTGAGCCATAAGCATCCCTTAGCTCCAAGGCTCCAATTACTAAATTTAATCTCAAGAGCTAGTCTAGAGTGAAATTGTGGAGCAGCCAAAACCAGCTCCATCTCCCTAGTTTATTTTATGAGAGTACTCTAGCCAGCTGCACTCCTATTAATTTTAGATGTAACTAAAAACTCTTTAGCTAGTCTCCAGCTTCAGAAGAGGTGGAGTTGAAGCTGAAACTCTACCAAACAGTTTCCACGACAAATTTAAGCTACTCCATTAAACATAAAATTAATTAAAGACTAATGCACATGAGTAAACTGGGGTGGGCTGAAATTGCTCTGGTTGATAGATGGAATTTTGAGGATGAAATGGTTGGCTCATGCAGCTGCCTTGCAATTATCATTCAATCGATGAAACTTGAATACTTCCATTGCACAGAAAATAATGTTTCTTCAAAGCATGTGAGAGCAAGAGCTAATACGATGATGGGTTTTATTTGCTGAATGGAATAGCAAAGTAGTCGGGACAAAAAGGCTGCTTCACTTCATTGTAAAAAAAAAAATTCTTAGAATACCTATTTTCGGTAACGCTAAATTTTGGTAGTGTTTAATTTTTATAAGACTAGAAAAAAATACCATTACGTTGCAACGGGTGAAGACTATTTTAATCTTATTATTATTATACGAAATTCATTGTGATAATTTGCTTGGATATATATATATATTTTAAAAAATATAAGCTGCAATTAGGAGTCCGATCATCTCAAGTTAGTATGCGAGTTCTTTAAATAGATTTCTTATATGACTCCTGTATTTCTAAAAGCGAACGAACTTAAAACCTGACTCAAAATACGGATATGTATTTTTAAAAGCAAACGAACTTAAAAACCGACTAATGACATACCAAAATACTGACAAAAATATCTTCAATTTTTATATTTTAATAAGATAAGGTGAAGGTGGATGGTGTTTATAGTTTGATAACTTATCAAATTTTGGTTACTAAAATTTAGATTTAGAATGGTTTGAGAATGGCAAGTAAGTTAACAAGCCCAAAGATACGATTCAGGAATGAGAAATTAAGATCTCCTGCAGGGCGTAAAACTGAAAAACAAAAACAATGGATAAAGAAGGCCAGCCGGGGATGCTGTCATTTGCCGGCTTAAGCCCACTAGATGCCTGAGGTGATGAGGTCAAAGCCGGACTAGGCATCTCCTTCTTGGGTCGAAAACTAAGCTGGGCCAAGACGAGGGGCCGAATGCCCCAAGCAGGCCGACCAAGTATGGTGCTCCACCATGAGATTAAAGTAAGGTCAAACGTTATGAAGTTTTTGAATTTCTATCATAAGTGTTATGGAATATTATCTCCTGGAGAGATAAGATCCTTTCCTATGGACCAATCCAAATCGGAGTAGATATAAGATCTATCTTCTTGTAAG